GTGGAGCTGCACCGGCCGCACAAGCGCAACGCCTTCAACGTGGCCGCCTGGAGGTGCGGGCGCGGGGACGCCGCGGGCACGCCGCGGGCACGCCGCGGGGACGGAGCCGCACGCGTCCCCGCAGGGAGATGGTCTCCTGCTTCCAGGGCATCGCGCGCGACCCCGACTGCCGCGCCGTGGTGCTCTCGGCCGCCGGCAAGCTCTTCACGGCCGGTAAGGGCGCCCGGACGCCTGGGCCCCGCGCCAGGCAGGCGGGAGTTTCCCCGCGGCGCTGGGCACCCGGCGCCGGGGAGCGTGGCGGGCCGGGGGCGGTGGCCCCAGGGGGTCCCCGCGGGGCCCTCGCAGCCTCCTCCCGGCCGGCCGGGGCCGGGGGCTCCCCGGGGAGCCGCGGGGGTGACGGCGGCCTGGCGGGCGCAGGCATCGACCTCGTGGACGTGGGCGAGCTGCTGGGGCTGCAGGGCGAGGACACGGCGCGCAAGGCCTGGCAGCTGCGCCAGATCATCCGCGACTTCCAGGAGAGCTTCACGGTGCTCGAGAAGGTGCCGGGGACACGGGGGCGGCGGCGTTGCCCGCGGCGCGCTCCCCTTTCTGCACTGCCCGCAATCCAGTCCCTGTGTCACGGTCCCGGTGTCGCACTCCCAGTGTCACCCTCCTGGTGTCACCCTCCTGCCATCATGCTCCGAGTGTTGTGGTCCCGGTGTCACGGTGCCAAGCATCACACTCCCGGTGTCCCATTCCCGGTGTCCCGCTCCCGGTGTCCCACTCCTGGTATCATGTTCCTGGTGTCAGCCTCTCAGTGTTGTGCTCCCGGTGTTGCCCTCCCGGTGTTGCCCTCCCGGTGTTGCCCTCATGGTGTTGCACTTCTCTGGTGTTGCCCTCCCGGTGTCGCACTCCCGGTGTTGCCCTCCCGGGGTCGCACTCCTGTTGTTGCCCTCTCGGTGTTGCCCTCCCGGTGTTGCCCTCCCGGTGTCGCACTCCTGTTGTTGCCCTCCCGGTGTTGCCCTCCCGGTGTCGCACTCCTGTTGTTGCCCTCCCGGTGTTGCCCTCCCGGGGTCGCGCTCGCGGTGTCGCCCTCCCGGCGCCGTGTCCCGCCTCACCGCGTCGCTCCCTCGCAGTGTCCCAAGCCGGTGATCGTGGCGGTGCACGGAGCCTGCATCGGCGCCGGTGAGCAGGGCCCGCGGGTGACACGGGGCGACACGGGGCGCCGCCGCCTCTCACCGTGCCCTCGCGCCGTCCCTCGCCAGGTGTCGACCTCATCGCCGCCTGTGACATCCGCTACTGCACCCAGGACGCCTGGTTCCAGGTGAAGGTAGGTGGCTGCAGCTGCTCGGGTGTCCCTTGTGTGTCCTGGGGTCCCTTCGGGGGTCCCCAGGGCCCTGGTTGCTCCCCAAGGGCCACCTGTGGCACCTGTGCGTGTGGCCATGGGGGGCACCAGC